GGACCGCTGTAATTCCCAAAAGAAGCCATGTTCTCGATGGGAGGTTTTTCTTAGTCCCCGCATTAGTTCATCACAATCGTGACACGACAGTCGCGTAGCAGCACGTTTCTTGGTCTTGATGCATTCCTCTTTTACACTTCCGCTACCAACGGAACATACCGCATACGGACATACAGACAGACCAACGAAGCTACAATTGATTCAATACGCTCTTAACCCTGAGACGGAGTAAGTGTAGCAACTCAGCATGGCACACTGGGTCACTCGTGGAACTTCACAACTTCAGCCAACTGTCATCTCGTTTTGTGTCCGAGGAGAAACGATCACAATTGTGTCAAAATGAAAATATCTCGCCAAAAGCGCAGCCACCGCCATGCACAGCCAAGCCTACCACATTTCAGGGATTTCGAGTGTAAGTGTTCTGTTTTATGTGATGATTTCAAAGGTTTTTCAAGGTGCGCCGACGTCGATCATCTTACGGCGGACGTTCGGGTCGGAGCTCGTTTATCACGGATCGATGAATGGTGTGGGGATCGGACACCGCCGCAGTTAATGAGCAGCACGAACCTGTTGCAGCTCGAGTACACCACGAAGGTAAGGCATTCCAGAAATTGAAGATAACTGACAGTTAGTATACAGCGTCTGTGATGCAAACGAATACATCTACCACAGATGGGTAGCAAAGATCAGTCGGTTGATTCGCGCGGCTTGCGGCATTTCTAGGCGTCCTCATATCCGCTTCGACACGTGTCTACGGTTGCCCTTACAGTCTCAAATACCGTTCTATCGCTTCTTTTGAGTGTGACCAAAGCAAAAGAAAACCAGCCAAAAACCGGTTGAGCAGTCAGCATGCGTTTTCTTCCTCCTTGAATAGTTGCCTGCCTGCCAGCTGCCATAGATTGTGGAGAACGGGCTGATGCCGCGCTCACGCATCTCTCTTGAAACGTACTACATCCGCTGCGAACAAGACCACGCATATGCATTCCCTGAAGTGCGGTAGATGAGTCCGCCCATAGATAAGCCAGAATTTTGAGGCAGACTTTTTTCCGTCACAACTTTGAGGTCCTCGTTTGGACTTTCTTCTAAGAGAGCTTCTAATAGAGTGGAAAATTCTCTTTTTGTTGTTCGCTTCGAACAACTATTATATAACCTCTTATCATTTCCTCAGTCACAGAGTAGTCACAGAGGACAGATATAACCTAACCAGCAGTCACAGAGGACAGGTATAACCTCTCATCATTTCCTCTGTCGCGCGCGAACACTAAATCGTACAGGGTCCCTTTAGTGTTCGCGCGCGCGGCGACCGCGATGCCGCGCGGACTTGTCTATTGGCGGACTTATCTACCGGACTTTCGGGTACTACTCTATCGCTAATAAAGAGCCTCGCCTAGTTCACTGCTGAATAAACGTTTCTGGTATCCAGTGCCAATCTCGCCTTTCTTGGCACGAGCGTCTTCTTCCTTTTGCCCCTGAGCAATACAGCCAATACGCCCATGCCATTTCGCTGTGTACGCGAACTTAAGAATAATTATATGAAATGCTCTGATTACAGTCATCACGAGCTCTACGGGAAAGTACGAAGAACGATATTGGGTTCCGACTCAACTATAAATTCCACACTGATTGGGACATGCATCACATGCGGGCACGAGGAGATCGAGACAAAGGTATGCCTTCTTCGGTTTCGCTTTCAGAAATAAATCGATTTGAACAAAGTTTTCTTCCTCTCTCCTCAACGCTTTCTTCTTCGTATGAATAGCCTCCTTGAGAAGTGGTTAACGTCTTTCATCTAACATCATCTCTCTTAAAAACCGTTTCCGCGACTACCTGGTAAGGTAAATGCTCTTCAGCGCATATGTGCAGTGAGCAAGTCCGCAGTCACACAGAGGTTTCTTCATTTGCCACTGGGAGTGTCTGAAAAGGAAGTCAGGAGCTTGCAACTCAGAAGCACATTTCGCACTCTGGAGTGGCCAGGGGCACTTGAGCCACTGCTTTCTTCTCCATCATGGAGCCCATCATCTGAAATGTCGAAGCAGAATGAGACTCGCCAATGAAGAATGGTCCGAATGAATTTGCCCGCAAGACCTTTATACACCCCTCCCCTCCCTAACCTACCCTTCTAACTCCGATCCCGCCATATACGCAGTGGATGGTACAGCGCCTTATTTTCATGCGTATCTTCATTTTATGAGGCTATACGCTCTCTTGCCCTCGTTGACTGCATAGCCTCTCCCCCACGCGCTCAATGTTTTCTTTCTCGTATGTTTTTCCAGTCTGGTCTCCATTGGAATAAGGTGATTAGCACCTGCGGGCCCAAATACCCGCGACTCACAATCATGGAATGTGGCTTCAGGATTGCTAGCGTAGGACTGTGCGTATACTAAATCAATTTCCCAATTTGAAACATTTAGAGGTGCCTTGAGGGACCACCATGCCTGGCTTGGGGAAATGCCTCTTCATACTAAGGTGTGCAGTTGTGCTTGGTGGGAGCACGAAATGGCACTTAGCGGAGCTATTAGGTTGGTGCATAAGTTCTTCCCCCGACTTTTTTGTAAATATCTCAATAGCGAACCAGCCTGAAGATTAGAGGTATGCACCATCATCACTACTCGACGCCAACGCTCAGCTTGTCGATTCCATCGTCCAGAAGGACGGGGGCTGGGACCCGAAGAAGGCCACAATGCCGCACAATCACCACTGTGACATGGTTTTGCACTGGTAATTGTGCGGCATTGTAGCCTGCAAATGCAGGGTGGGCGAGTGATAGCTAGTGTGATGAAAGAGTATCATGTACACGTCACGCACACGTGATGACGAAATACCAACATCCATGCAAACGAAATACGGAAGGATCAGAACAAGG